CTGGTACAGTGATCCAGGCAACATGTAGCAAATCCAGTTAAAAGAGGAGATGTCACTTGTCATATCTATGGTGTACAACACATTGTGCCGTAAAATCTGGTCTGAACTTGCCTGAACACTCACTAAGTGGCGCACAAGCATACCCAAAAGGGTTCTGTCAGTCTGGGCAAAATTTACATTACAAAATATCAGAAATTGGAAAACTAGAATATTAGATTTCCCATCCATCTTGGCTAATGCAGCTGAAATGTAAAGGAATAACAGATTAATTATGATTCAGCCATTTCCCCACATTCACTTCCTGGACCTATAGGAAAAAAGTGTCAGGCAGGCCATGTTGTGCTTCAGATGTGATACCCTTAATCCAGTGGTGGGCCGTCAGGGCCAGCTAAGCCTTCTCTGCTGGCCTAAACAGAATCACAAGTTATAGCTATTTTATAATTTCATAATTTTTCATAAACACTACATGTATTCTAATTATTTTTCCCATTATCTTATGTTCTCATTGCACAGCTACTGTCTTCCTCAGTTGCTCTGCTTCCAGTGCAGCTTGTTGTAAGGAGAGCTTTTATCCAATCAGATTTCACCTCTGTGTCTCCAGGTAAGAACAGAGGCCCGAGGCCCTCTAGAGAGCCTTTGCAGATTAAAGTAAATGGGGAAGATATTGTTGATTGTCATAGTGTTCAACCAATCAGATCTTTTGTTTGACATGTTGGGCGTATTCAGAGCTTCCTACGTGGCCTACAAGTACGTCAGCATTAACGGGCAGCGTGATTGGTCAGTGGGCTAGCGTCACTGTTGTGACTAGCGGAAGTTAGTATTAGTAGTAACGGTTCAAGTTGAAAGATATGTTAGAAGTTATGACATTGACATGACATTTTTAGCATTTTGCTTGGTGTAGCTTTGTTTTTTTTAACACTGAAAGGAGGAGGAGAAACAGATTTGGGATTTACTGGCAAAGCCTTTCTGGAGGAAAGCTGTAAGAAAGGGTCGGCCAACCCCACAGCTAGCATCCCTAACCCAGCCAGGAAAAGGATTTGTACAAAGGGTATTCCTGGCTGACAGCATCGGAGAAGCGTTGCACATTTTATCGCTAAGAATGCGTTTTATTTGCGACTGAGCATCTTGGTGTTTGGAGCTAAGCTGGATTTGCTAACCAAGGTAGCAAATGCAGGTTTGCTGGATTGATTTGTTGCTTTATTGTCATATAAATATATGTGACTGGTTCTTGTGAGTTTGTTCTTGTCATTGTGTTAATTACATTGATTTTGACTATATGCATTGTCCGTTAATGACGTAGCATCCCGTCATCACGGGGTTAGGGTCGGACATTTGATTCTCTGTTTGGGCTTTTGTTTTCTTTTACAAAGCAAGAATTATGGTCTGGAGGAATGGGGATTGTGTGGTGATTGCTTTAGCCCTGTTTGAATCACTAGGTAACAGCTAAACACTGCAGGGAGAGTTTGTAGCGTGTGTGCTGCTGTTGTTTTCCTGCTAAGCTAGTTTAGCATAGCCTCCCAGAACACACGTGCCTCACCAGAGTACAATGTTTTTCTTCCGGGGTGGGCGTGTCAGGCAGCACGTTGTCTGTTACGTTGGAGGGTTGCCAGGTTGAGCGCAGTGGCTCCACCGAAAACATTATATTTCCCACAATTTAAGCTTCTGCATTTTCCAAATGCACTAGTATTATTCAAACGTATTGTTCGGTTCGTAAGCCTCGTACCGAACGGTTTAATACGAATATGTGTATTGTTACACCCCTAGAAACAGATAATAACCTGTAGCTGTGGCGTCATAATGAGGTTATTAGGAGGTAGTTCAACTGTAGAAGGACAGCACTGAAGGCCCAGGTATAAAATGCACGGCCCGCCACTGCCTTAATGTAGGAGTGGGAGAAAAGCGCCTAGTGGCCTGCCTTTGCTGAAGTATTTCTGCATATCTTGTATGAGTTGACCATTGCCGTCCTTAAGCCTTTTCCCCTTTCCCAGGGCCATGGACTTAGTAGTCACTGCGCCCTCTCTCCCTTCGTGGAGGGACGGGGACCCCTGCCCCCGGCACCACTGTCCTCGTTGGTGGTCTGCAGCGATATAAGCAACCCATCCAACCTGTCCTGAAACACGGACCCTGTCTCATTAACCATGCTTTGTGGGTGTGACTTTTTTCTTCACAACCAATGTGTTTATGATAAATAGTTTACAAGAGCACAAAGTTCTTCGTAGATCTAGCCTCTTTTTTTTGCTCTCAAAGTGCACCACATTGATGCAGTTAAATGTACAACATTTTCTTCCAGGGGAGCATGCCCTCGGACCCTCTAGGGCAGGGGTGTCAAACATACGGCCCGCGGGCCGGATCCGGCCCGCCACATCATTTTATGTGGCCCGCAAATCCGCCAGATGAAAAAAAAAAAAAGGAAAAAAAAAAAAAAAGTTAGATTTGATAATAAAAATATCCCCATAGTCGAAATTATGAGATAGAAAGTCGAAGTTATGAGATAGAAAGTCATAACTATGAGACACTTTAACAAAGTCATCGAAGCAGCTCTTTGGCTGGTTACTGTACATGTGACATGAAATGTATTGTGAGTACATTGAAGACTACTTTAAACGTGTCTTTAAAACACATGAAATACTTCACGTGGGATTGTGCAAACGCACCCTTGAAAGGATTTTAAGTATTGAACAAAGTTATTGTAATAACTTGTTTGATATTTGTCTTTGCTATTTTCTTTGATAGTTTGATCTTTGATAGAGTAATGTGGGTTTATTAACTCTAAATTAAAAGGATTTAAGTTATAATAACAGAAATGTGCTTAAATATATTTTTACATTTATATAACTGCATGTACAATATTTTTACTCTTGAATAAACAATAATCAAATGCAGAGACAGTTATTTACCAATATGTTAGGAGTAGTTACATTTACACAGTCTTACATTTACAACCGGCCCTTTGAGGGCGTGATGCTGATGTGGCCCAGAGTGAAGATGAGTTTGACACCCCTGCTCTAGGGGGATCCACCCACCACAGTCTCATAAAATCCTGTGGGAAACACTGTAATATATATAGTGCAATATAAACTGAGCTATATTGTGAAAAAGCAGCTTTATTGGTCATGTTTGAAGGTTCTATATTGCAGGAAATTATGATTTCAGGTGTTAATTAAATACTCAATTTCTTGCCGTACTTCCCCTTGCCTGTCACTAATGTTGCCCCCGCCACCTTTAACTATATCTCAGCCCCCATGGTGCTGTCTGCTCTCTTTCTACAACCAGTTAGTTATATTAGATGGAGGTGGGATCAGGAGGAGGCCAGTGTTCAATTAGTGTTTGTTTATGATCCTCACCGTTCACAGTTTTACTTTTTAGCATGTACGCATTTGGTTTTTGCACCTTATTGGAAAACCTTTGTTTGTATTTTGTTTATGAGCACTCTATATATTCTTATCACCCAGGCATATTTCATCTTTTTCCTACTTTGTGTTGCAAATTCCCTCGGGATAAATAAAGCTCTATCTTATCTTAACCAGCGTGTAATTCATGGCTGATGTTTTTTTACAGTATTTAATTACTTTTTTTGGCTGATCCTGTTGATTTAGCCACACAGTAGACCTGTACATCATCAGTATGTGTACGGCGGTGTTGTTAAAATTCAGTGTTGTGCATGTCTGTGTGAGTGCTGCTGTCTGGAGAAAAGAACACAAAGAAATACAGCGCTAAGGAGAATAACATTGCCAAACAGATGACTGTTTTAAAGGTGCAAAATGACAAATCACAAACAAACAACTTTGCTAGCATTTGGTCATATTCAATGCAAAACTTAAAGTGCTGCCGACAACTTAACTTACTTGCCAGAGTTATCCATCGTCACCAGCGAGGTTTTATTAATACGTGATTTAAATCGACTGTGGAAAGTATTGCAGTTTGGGAGTACTACTGTTCAAAGGCTATAGCAGCAAGGTTTCCTCCAGTTCCTGGTAGGAAACGACTGACAGTTTATCAAAACCAATAGAGGAGAAGCAGAGCTGCACCAAAAAGAATCTCTGCGCCTAAAACATTTGTCAGATTATCGTGAACACCAATCTCTGAAAAACGGAGAAGTGCAGAGGAAAGCTATGGATTGCAAACCAAAGTAAGAAACGCCTAAAAAAACAATGCAGCCACTGCCATATTGTATGTAGCTCCTTGTCCTAGTTTGGAATGATAACAATTTTGGGTCACTGTTTTTGTTGGATGGTTTACAATTGTGTGTTTCTATTAATGGACAAAATGAACCCCCATATAATGACTTCTACTGATAAGAAATGGACAGACCTACATACAACTTTCCAAAATGTGGATGTCAGTGTCTTATTTATACTAATAGACACGAGAAACAACAAAACGAGACCTTTACTGACCATATGACGTTTGAAAATATGTTCATCTATTGACCCTTTTGGGCACATTTCCTCTCATTCCAATCATGTTGCAGGCATGTAAAAACTCCCACTCAAGATTTATAGACAGTACAGGACAGTCGGTCGGTTTCACTGCAGGCTTTACGGACTGCGCACTGAGGTGATGTAACACATGAATGATTTTCCAATCTCCGATCAGACATCAAACGAAAATCACAATAAAAACTAAACAAAACGTAATGACTTGCTGTGGAGATCATATCGGGTTTTAAATAAAAGAACAATCCATGAAGCAACATGTCAGCAGCCCAAACCCTGTTTCTACCGGCCCCACCACACCAGCAAGCTTGTGTGTGTGTTGATCGACACACACTTATACCTAGACACATAAATACTAAAATGAAATATTATTCCCACACAGAACCTGCAAGGTAGACTGCCATTTATTATATGTCACAGAAAAGCAATAAAATGTGGGACAGAAAATAGGTGTGTGTGTGTGTGTGTGTGTGTTTGTGCGTGTGGTAAAGAGAGAGAGGGGGTGCTATCACGTCACATCGTCACGCTTATTAACCCCTCCACCCCCTCCCCATTATCCCCGGTGACGTAAGCGCACAAACTACTTTAACAAGCCGCGGAGCCGCCAGCCGCAGCACTTCACCGAGCACTTTGAGCGGACTCCACACGCGAGTTTAACGGGGTGTTTGTTTTTCCTTCTTACCGGCGACCCCCCTGAACACCGCAGGTCCGGTAACGTTACCTCAGAAGGCTGAACCGTGACTGCTCTTCCCCGCAGCGTGCGACACGCGGAACTCTCCGCGCAGATATATTCGGGTGCACGGGCTCGCGCCGCTCATCAGCGCCCCAATCCGCCGTTACCCCCGAGGGCAGGCGCTGACGAGGAAGGCAGGGAACGGCATAAGTAGCGTTTAAAATAACAACGAGGTAAGATGCTAACAACTTCTGCTACTTTCTACTACAATTACTACTGCTGCTGCCATAGAAACACAGCAGGCAGCGCGTGCTGAACGTAAATATTTATTTATTTATTAAAATGATTTGACACAGTAGCAGTAAGAGCGGAAGCAAAATAAAAGTTGTAATAATAACAGTAGCAGTATTAGTAGTAGAAATTGCATAAAAAAGACTTTATATCTGCTACTTGTTTTTTGAGAATAATGTTAATAACCTGACAAAGTTTGACCTTTTTGTAATGTTTCTGTTTTTTTATGATTTCCCGTCCTATAGTCCATGGCTGCCCCCGCACACAGCAGCTGCGTGTGGATGCTGGTTCTGGGCGCGTGTGTGTCGCAGGTGGTTGGAACGGAGTGCGGGAAGGAGTGCGCACTGTGCGTGTACCGTCTTCTGGGACAGCAGTCTAGTTTCTCCTCCCCGGTAACGTCACTGCCTTTCTTAATTCCTATGAAATCTATTCGTATTTCTAATTCACTCACAGACAAATGATAATCATATGAGTGTGGTCAGTCTGGTGTCCCAGCTATGGTGCATTTGATCATAAATATAGAAATTAAGATAAATAAACTGGGGGTGTGAGTGACGGGCACAGCAGTCTGGTTTCTCTTCCTCTTAAAGGCATATTAGTATAATGTATCAGCTATAATATATCCAGCTGACAACTAATAATAATAGCTCCTTATAATATATCAAGCAAAATACTTTCATTCTTTGCTTTCTCTTCTTCCATTCCTCCTCTCCTCTCCTCTTTCATCTCCACACTTCACCTCTCTTCACATTTCCATTTTCATGTCTTCAGTTATTAGATGAGTTTAATGATGATAATACTGTCACGTAGACTTCAACCATTAAAGCATCTACAAATATTCTATACGTCACTGCTCTCCTTTCATTTAAGGGATGTTGTTCCTATTCTATTCCTTTCTCCTTCTCCCTCTCTGCTTTCCTGTCCTCTCCCTTTCTTCACCTATCATCTTTTTTCATTTGACCCCTCCCTCCTTCGTCAGCCCGCCTGTGGCTGCAATCATGTAATCATGGTAGTACGGCTAGGCTTCAAAACATACTCTAAACTGGTAGGTTTTTATCTGAGCCCCCCCCCCCCCCTTCTTCCATCCATTCTTCTTCCCTCCTCAGTCTCTCATGCCCTCTATTTGGTTTATTTCTAAAAGTAAATTTCAGTGTACTCGCAAATTTATAATAAGTCAGACATTGTCGTGTCAAATGTGCTGAGTTTGAAACTTGAACAGTGACATTCTGTGGATATTCTGCACATGATGTGTTACTGAGTTAATGCTCTCCTTTGCACTTCTATCAACATCTGTTTAATCGATGCAAAGTCATTTATTGTGCGGATAAAAAAATCTTCCTTGTTTGAAATATTAAAACATACTCACTAAAAATCTTCACAACTTAAAATTTCTAAAGAGAAATGTAATAAATAAACTGGATTTCATTAGCGCTTTATCTGCACTTAATTTTCCAAAATGAGAGCAGTGTAAGTGTCAGAGGATCAAACTGTACACATTTATAATCCCATCATTTTCAACCATAGGGAGTGCATCCATCCTCACAAAAGATATTAAAGAATTTGGAAATGCCTTGAAATTCTCCGACACATGGATTTAGTTCCCTGAATTCTTTCCACAAATGCTTCAACGCCACTTAGAAAGCTGTGATTGTGAGGAGGGAAAGGGCAGATAAAGAAAAAACATATTAAGAGAAATCTTAATTGATCTTTTGCATTTGGAATCTGTCCACCATCTTTGCTGTCCCTTTTTTCTGATTTACGCAACCATTACTTGTTTTACACTTCCCATCGTGGCCACCAGAGGGTGCTGCCGCCCACCAGCCTCCCAGCCCCTCAGGTGCCAATATGTCCTCAATTCAATTTTCCCGTTCATTAATTCTGTCTTCATAAGCCAGCGGCGCTGAAAGCTCAGCGAGAATCCCTCCTCCGCGCCATCAATTAAGTGAAATCCAATGACGCATATGAGGTTAGGACCAGGTTATCCCGGCAGTATGCAGCCCCCAAGGGCCCTGCAGACGCCTTCAGTCTGATTGTACTCCTGCCACCGGGGTTACACAGTTAAAGGGTGACTGGGATAAGTGGGGGGACATACAGCTTTAATAGCGGGGGAGGCTTGCATTAAATGAATAGGATACTGTGTCAATGGGTGAGGAACAGACTGCTGCAGATGGTTCGTAGAGAGAAATTGTGTTTTTCTAAGTTGTTGAGGGAGTAAGTGAGGGATATCAGGGATAAAAGAAGCTGTCGTGTGCTCCCGAAGCATCTGCTGACTGTTCTCTCTCCTCCTCATTGACTCTTGCTCTCTTCTGTGCAGTCTTTTTTCTGCTCTCTTTCCGAACACAATCTTGGAGTGCGATGCACACAAGATGACGCAGCTTTCCCTGTTCCTGTTTGGTTTCCATTTAAATGTCAGTAACAACTCACCAAGCTTTATTGTCATGGTTTAATCCACTAATGACCACAGTAAGAATATGAAACATCAGCGATGGACAGAATAAGCCACGTAGAATACATGATCGTCCCCAAAATGGGATTTTAATTTCCTCTTGATTTGAATGGTAATGACTCTCCTACCTCGATACATTGGAACATTAAGACATAAATATGAACTGATTTAGTAAAGCCTAAATTGCTGTTCTCATGTTCTCAGATAATATCTCAGATAATACATTTGTAAAATGGCATTTCATAGTACATTTTTTTCGGAGCCACGGACAGGACTAATGCTGTTGTCAAGCTTTTGTAAAGCGTTGTAGCTACGCATCGGGGGGGGGCAGAAATTACATTTCTTTCAGGACAATACTTTGGTCTATGGTCAGAAGTTTGTGGTGGCAGTGGCAGAGTTGACCAGTCTGTCTGATATCAGGCGTGAGTTCAGAGTGAACTAATCATGGAAGTAACAGAAATAATAATAATAATCCAATTTGCTCACCACAATTTCCGAAAGCACAATGGAACATCTTCAAATAGCTCTTTTTTTTCTAACCAGCAGTCCAAAACCTAAAGCTCGAACCTACATTTATTTAAAATTTTTGTTTACAACAAGACTTAAAGGGGACATGTCATGAAAAACTTCAGTACATGTGTGCACATACATTTGGATATCTGGAGTGCCGAACAACCCACAAACTGTGAAATCAGACAACTCAGTCAGTTTTTCAGACTGGGCTTTTTCGGGAGGGGGTCTTAAAGAGACAAGCGCTGAAACAGAGCGTTTCAGACAGAGAGTGGATACACGTATATTCAGACAAACAGAATGAGAAAATGGGGTTGGACAACCCTTTCTTATGATGTCCAGCTTTTCTGGAAATGTCCTTCTTGAGAAATCCGTTTCTCCTCCTTCAGCCATTGAGTGTTAAAAAAACACAGCTCGGAAAAAAAAAGAATCTACATCAAGCAAAACGTTAAAAATGTCATAACTTCTTACATATCTTTCAACTTGAACTGTTACTACTAATACTAACTTCTGCTAGCTGCTTCAGTGACGCTAGCCCACTGACCAACACGTTATTGCTGAGCTGCACGTTAATGCTGATGTATTGTAGGCTACCTGGGTAGCTCTGGCACGTCAAAGAATACACATGTCAAACTAAAGATCTGATTGGTTGAAAACTATGACAATCAACAATATCGTCCCCATTTACTTCAACTGCAAAGTCTACCCAGAGGACCTCGGGCTTTACATAGGGGCTGAATCTGATTGGATAAAAGCTCTCCTTAAAACAAGCTGCACTGGAAGCAGAGCAACAGAGGAACACAGTAGCTGTGCAATGAGAACATAAGATAATGGGCAAAATAATTATAATACATGTAGTGTATTTATGAAAACAAATAACTGGCAAACATTGTATTGAAAAGATTGTGAAAAGTCATAAAGATCATTTTGATTTTTCCAGACCTGCTCACTCGAGTGCGAGGGTGGGTTGGACACCTTGAAGCTCCGCCTGTGCCGGGGCTATCTCTTGGAGGAGGAAAACCACATTCCTCTGAATGCCGACCCCCGTCAACCGCAGGAACAGGAAGCAGCGGATGCCGTGACAGCAGACGATGAGGACGCCCCATCACCGGAGCACCTGCTGGCAAAGAAGTATGGTGGCTTCATGAAGCGCTACGGAGGCTTCCTGTCTCGCCGCTCCCCCTCTCAAGAGGGGGTACTGGAGGACGAAGAAGAGAACGCTCGCCTGGAGATCCTAAAGATTCTCAATGCACCGGCTGAGCACGGTGGTGAGGGCGACGGTCAGGGAGGGGAGGCGGTGAAGAGGTACGGAGGCTTCATGCGTCGGGCCGGAGGAGGAATGGCGCAGGGCGACCTGCTGGAGGCAGTGTTGGGCCGCGGGCTCAAGAAGCGCTACGGAGGCTTCATGAGGCGTGTGGGCCGGCCTGAGTGGCTGGTGGACAGCAAGAGCGGGGGGATGTTGAAAAGGGCCTGGGAGAATGGCAGCGAGCTACAAAAGAGGTACGGGGGGTTCATGGACTAGGACGCGACAGTTATGACCCTTCATCCCCCCCCCACATCCCTCCAATCCACCCTCTTCAACCAGTCACCTTGTAATCTGGATTTGTTGGTGTTTGAATCAACTGCCCACCCCTCTGCTTTGTATAACGTGCCGCTGCCTACTTCATTGATTCAATTGCTCCTGTAATGATAAAAAACGATAAACATATGTTGTTCTGATGTGCACAAATCATTTTTTGGTCTGTTTTTTGGTTTTCCTGACGATATTATTAATTAAAAGAATTTGTTGATCAAAGTTTGATGGTCGAGTGTATGATTTAAAATAACTTAACATGTATGCAAGGGTCTATATTTCAAAAGCAGGGACACACTCAAGTCTCAATAAAGGGCTCTTATCGAAATATTTAAGTATATCAACACAGCATAATAACATTTTATGAAATTGGGGTCGCTTTCATGCTTTCCGTAAAACTGTCGCTTTTTTAAAAGCAATAGAGATAAAGAATATAGAGAGTCCTGTATTATTTTCACAACGCTATTTTTTTAATTTTTAATTTAAACCTTTATTTAACCAGGTGAGTCCCATTGAGATTAAAAATCTCTTTTTCAAGGGAGATCTGGCCAAGACACGCAGCAACACAAGAAACACATAGTTACAGACAGAAAACACAAAACAAGACAAGTTAAAAGAAACTGAAAGTTAAGAGACAGTGACGTAACCAGGTTAATTTAAAAAACATTGACATTTTTGGGAACCTGCCTCTATTTCTTTCATTTTAGATTTAAAAGCAGTAAGTGGTATCAGTTCTTTTAGTTTTAAGTCATTCTGAAACATATTCCATGATGAGGGTGCAGAGTACACAAAAGCCCTTTTTCCCATTTCCGTTCTGGCATTTGGGACAGTGAGCATAAAGAAGTCCTGAGAAGGCAAGGAGTATTGTCCGACACTTTTCTGCATGATGAAGACACAGATAGCTTGGGAGCAGACCAAGGATTGCCTTATAAATGAAGGTGTACCAATGACAGAGCCTACGGGTGGTCAAAGCAGGCCATCCTACCCGAGAGTATAACTCACAGTGGTGAGTCAGAGCTTTACAATTGGTAATGAAGCGCAGTGAAGCATGGTAAGCTGTGTCCACCATACGAAGACAGTTAGCAGAGGCATGCATATAAAGAAGATCACCATAGTCCAACACAGGTAAGAAAGTAGCAGCAACTAATCTCTTCTTTACATTAGTTGAAAAGCACAGCTTATTTCAAAAATAAAAACCCAGTTTTAACCTCAACGTCTTCACCAGGTACTGCACATGTGGCTGAAAAGTGAGGGAGTCATCGATCAAAATACCCAGATATGTATAAGAGTCAACAACCTCTATTTCACTTCCTTCAAGAGTGACCACTGAAGGGATATTCTGTGGCCTACTCCGAGAGTTTGAAAACATAAGTTTTGTCTTATCTGTATTTCAGTTGAAGAAGGGTATGAATAACATTAAAAGCATTTTGCAAGAGATCAATTACCTGCACAAGAGTTGACGCACAGCAATATATCTCAGTGTCATCAGCATAAAAGTGAAGGTTAGCATATTAGAATTAGTTGGATATGACACCTGAACTGATACTAAACCTGATTCTTAATGAAAGAAGCTTTTTAAAGCTGCTATCATCAATATTTGTATAATAACAATGTATCAAATGTGAAAACAATATTGACAAGGGGAAAGGAGTTGCTCATTGTGATGTTATTACCTGAATCTACAGCTGCCCTGATCCCTAAATAGCTTTATGGTGAGTTTCAGCTGTTTTGCTATCTGGCCCACAACTTTACTGTTATGGTTCACTCTCCCTGCTGGCATTGTTTTAAGCAGCAGCGGCAGATGTTTTTACAAAAAAAAGCTCTAAAAACCCAGAGCACACCACCTGCTCAGCAGCAAACAGCAGACACACAGTTAGAGACTAGCTGGTGAACATGGCAGAGCATTTAACAGCTGAAGAGACAGATATGTCTCTCAGGAGCTGGTGGAGACCAAAAGCAGAGCTAAAAGAGAGGAAATATTGGACTTGCATTCATCAGGTGGACATAAACTCAACTCCAAATGACGTGTAAATATCTAACAAGTTCCCCACATTAAAATTTCAACCATGTTGTTAAGTTGTTTGTGCTGCCCAAAAGAAATCAGTTATTGCAGGCTTAAAGGAGCAGTGTGTAGCATTTTGCAGGACTTATGAGCAGAAATGGAATATAATATTCATAACAGTGCTTTCATTAGTGTATAATCACCTAGTTGCATTAGCTTAGAATGAGGCCTTCATACCGACATAGGGAGTGGGTCCTCTTCATGGAGTCCGCCATGTTGCACTGCCATATTTCTACAGTGGCCCAGAACGGACAAACCAAACACTGACTCTAGAGAGAGCCTTTGAAGTTTTTACGTCACCTGAAGGCCTCTGCAGTTCCCCGGACACACTTGTGAAACTGCGGTAACAACTGTCTGACTTCCGTTGCTCCTTAAGTAGAGTTATTACGGTAAGCATGGCCTCTGGGCAAGGGGAACGATGTTAGCATGGTTTTGCACTCGGCAGCTCAAGTTACCGCAGTCTTGGAAAGATTGTTGCTATCTGCAACCACACTGCTAGATGCCACCAAGGGGTCAACTGTATGTTAAGGGGTTAATTCAAAATTCTCAAAATAGGCTGCATGGGCTCAATATGTTAGAGCTAACGAATGATTAGACAATTAGTGCATGAGGAAAACATTTGTATGAAACCAGCCGTCAGTCATTGCTTTTCTTTGTCAAGAAAACGCAACGACTTTCAAAGTGGTCAGATTTCTGCACTGTTCATACTACACAACTTGCAGTCTTGTAATTTGGAGTCTTGAAGTTGTTGGGATTTTATTACTGACCAGCAACAGGGTCACGCGCTACAAGATCCTTTATCTGGAATCCCCCCATGAGGTCTCCAGACCATGTTTCGTCACGCAGAAAATGCAAGAGGTGCAACACCAGCAACCTTTGGTCTGTGTTGCAAATGCAACGCATAGTTTCCCCTAAACCCTTGAGCTCTCACTGGCTGTAGCTCCCAGACAGACTCTCCCGACAGGTTCAAATAATTAGCATACTAGATATCTAGAATCTGATTGCACGGCACCGGCGAACCTCTCGGCTGGCATCTTTGGACAGTTCCCATATGACGCTCAAGCGCAGGTGTGCGAGCGGCGAGCCTATGCGGAGTCACCTCTGATCTGGAGATTTTGTCAGAGAGCTTGAAAAAACTGGGTGTGGAAAATCAGGGCTAAGGCCATGCAGTGTGACCTAGGCATGACCCAATCAATATAAATCGGCCTGAGGACAGACTTCAGGGGAAAAGAGAGAGAGACGAGACATATGGATGCTTGTGTGAGTGTCGTGCTGCACATGAATGCACAGAGCAACTTGTAGTTGAGACTGTGACCAACTGTAATAACCCAAACCCCTGAAGTATTTTGGATTAGTTTCTGTTTGCCTCCATTTGTCATCCTAAATGAATGGAAGCCAATGTTGAGCTCAAGAAGAGGACCAGAGTGGACCTGAATGTGCTGGCCTGTCTGCGCGGTCGAGTGGATCACACTGACGGCAACAAATGGAGCTCACCTGGATTGATGGTAAGCCCTGCTTCTTTTATTGTGTTGACAACAAGTATGTCTGTATGTAAAGCCTGTAGCTGGTAATTTAATCCCCTAGACCTAGAAATAGATCATTTTACCAGTACTACCTCTGCTGTGACACTGTGCTTCACTGAATACACCAGTTCACCCACATTGTCCTTTTCCAAATCAGTGGTTCGGATAACTGCATTATGATTAACGTGGTTTTCAGATTATGATCTGATTATACATACATACATACATATGTACATGCATATGCAGTCAGGGGAGACTTTATTTTGCCTCCAGAGCAGAAGTTAGGGCTAACCCCCTTCACTTTACCCAGCAGTTGGGAACTGGACACAGGAACTTTTTATGGGTCTTGAGAGGTTGCAGCATCTCAACCCCAATTTGTTGCACCTCTGCGTTGGCTTCATCTCTCAGTACTTAGATCGGTTACAGTTGCGCGCTGTCAGGGTGTAAGTGGTCTGCGAGAACAGGGCTTCATTGGATTCATCAACACAAACCAGAATGAACTGTAGTCCGAGAAAGAAAAGCATGGACATTTGTTGGTGAGTGTTTTTCTTTACTGTCCCACAAAAATGCAAAAAAATGTTAAATGTGGAAAAGCAGGTGTTCTGTCCTCGACGCCACTTCATACCAAATCTGCAGCATTTTGCCTGTCTGAATTAGTTGACTTGCAGATGTTGCTGATTTGGTATTTTGTCCTTTTTCTGAATTGATCACTACAGTAAAGTGTTGATGCTTTTTTTGAAGGTGAACCTCCTGTCCTCTTTATTTAAATCATTGTTTGATCAGCAGAATCAAAGTGAGATCTGAACAGAGAAGATGATTTTCCCATAAAATGCAAGCAGGCCCATGTGATTGCAGTAACCCACAACAGCCTCTATTGAGTCTTCAATTATCCATCCATTTTTGAGCCAGAGGAGACACTTTTGTATCTCTGAAATAATTGGATACATAAAATCCATATAGTGAGCAATAACAGCGGATGTCTATTCATGTAGAAAAGGTGAGGCAAGTATAAGTCAAACGGGGAGGGCCGGTCAAATCAATACAACAATGTCTATCAGGCTTTTCCTCAGGCTATCTTTATTAGCAAGCGAGAGAGGCCTAAAACTACATCTACTTCATCTGGTGATTGATATTCTGTATTCAACCGAATGCTATGAAGGCAATTTTTTATACAAATAAAGGAAAACATGAAACAGTTGAGGGATAACAATGCCAAGATTGTAGGTCTTTCTTGTGTGGCTCCTGTTCCAAAAAATACATTCTTTTTCATATTTTGTTTTTTCACTCAAAAATGTTTCTGCTCGCAACTTTGGAGAGAACTGTGGCATAGTCACATAGCGAAAGCATCAGATTATCTGTCAAGTAGTTAATTAATATATCTAGATTCTATCATGAAGACAAAGCCATAATTTCCCGATTCTGGAGCTAAAAAAACTGTTCTACGTATATCCAGTGTGTCTGTGTGACAGTTTCCGTGATGACAGGGGTTATTTATAAGGCAGGGTACGAGGGGGGGACGATTTGACTTTCGGCGTATCGGATTTTACACTGCGCGAGGGACGGCGCGGTTT